GCTCTGCCTTAGGGGTGCTATGTCCAGGGGAAGGAAAGAGACTGATGCTTTCCACCTGGGGCTGGAGCACCGCTCCTGTGGAAGCCTATTTGCATTTTTTACTGACAGGTCTTTAAAACTTGTGCAGGGCTGGCTTAGGAGGTAGCAACCAGGGCAATTGCTCAGGGTCCCACATGGCAGGGCTCGGGCTTTGGCTTCAGAAACATTGCAGATATCCAATATGTGAGCCGGTGAGGGCCCACTCCTTAGTTTCTGCCCTGATCCTCAGCAAGTCTAACTCTGGCCCTGAACTTGTGGGGAAGGGAACACCCATCAAGAGCAATGCTCTCCTCGGAGCTATGTGGTCTGAGCACAGACCCGAGAGCCAGGGACTCCTGAGTTCTCTTCCCAGCTCTGGCTCTGACTCCCTTTGGGGCCTTGTGCAAGTCACTTCACTTATGTGTCTTGGTATCCCCATCTATAAAATGAGGATAATGTTACACCAATTTCTGCGTAAAGTGTGGTGTACTACTGACTGAGCCAAGGCACAAGCAGCTTATAGGCACAATGAAACACACCATCCTGATCAACTACTGTATTCTGGATCTCAGCAGCAAATCCCCATCACTGTCTCCTATTCATAGATTTTGCTTTGCTCTCATTAGTAACAATTGTGATGAATGTAAACTCTTGTGCAGTCTGTAAACACTATGAGGCAGGGACCGTCTGTTTTTTGTGTGTACAGAGCCTTACGCAATGGAGCGCTAATCCCCATTCTGAGCCTCTAAGTGCAAATGTAATAAGAGCAACTCACATTTCTATAAAAAGCAACAGAGGGTCCTGTGGCACCTTTGAGACTAACAGAAGTACTGGGAGCATAAGCTTTTGTGGGTAAGAACCTCACTTCTTCAGATGCAAGTGAAGATTTCTATAGCACCTTTTCATCCTTAGGACTTCCAAAACTCTTTGCTGACTATGTACAGAATCACTTACCCAGAACTACAGGGCAGCCAGCTCTGAGACTGTGTGTTTACCAATATGCAACAAAGTTATGTAACCATTTATTAAGTGGGGCGCTTCAGCTGAAACTGAAGGGGAATTTTATGTAGGCAGAATGTAAATACCCAACTTGGAATTTGGCCAGGGATACCCCTGAGTCATGGAAAAGACTAGGGGATTTGTAATGGCCAAGAGAGGTCAGGGCCTTAGTGTTACATCTCAACATTGACAGCAACAGCTGGATGAATCTGTCAGTATGAAACTGTTGGCTGCCTCATCTACACTGCGATGAGTTTTGTATTACAAATGTTCAAAACAATAACAAAGAAAAGTAATTACATTGAAGAAATGCACAGGATCCACAAGGCCAAATGCCCAACCCGCTCTTGTTCCTTTTCCCAGGTTTTATGAGGTTTCCTGTTAATCTTTAAAAGGTTTAATGAAAAAAAAATCTTTGGCTTGTGTTCTATTAGCTCAAATGATGTCAGTACAGTAGGTGTCGTACTAGTTATCAGGGTTTTTGATCAGTGAGATACACAAGGGTGTGAGTGGCTAACTGCGCACAACCATCACACCTTCACCATAGTGTTTACATAGGTGATTTAAAATGCACTTTTTGTCTTCAGTCAACATGCATCAGGCAATGAATGTATTTACCCAGTGGAATAGTTCCCCAAGGAAGGTGGAGAAAGTGTCATTGTGTGGACCAATTAAAACTACTTTGCACTAATTACTAGGAAATATACCAGTTCTTCACTAATTCAGGGAAGCGATTGTAACACATTAAATGTGACTTAACAGGTCTCTATCCTTCAAAGTCTGTGTGGAAAATTCTGTTCTCTGTTGCACCGATAAAAATCTAAAGTAAATTCACTGAACTAATTGAGTTAGAGAAGGATTATGTTCCCATTAGTGCTGGTGTCAATCCAGAGTAACTATACTAAATTGAGAGGAATTAGGGCCAGATTCTGATCTGTTACACTGTTGCAAATCTGGTGTCGCTGACTAGAATTGGTGCCAATTTCTGATTTCACTTATGCCTGTGTAAATGTGGAATAACTCCTTTAATTCACTTGACAGATTAGAATTCTTTTGGGTTTCTACCTGTGTGAGAGAGCAAAGTTTAGCCCTATGATCCTGAGTTCCGAGAGAGCATGTTGACGATTTAATTTCACTCTGGAAATCTTATTAGCCCTGTTTCTCCTACCCTCTTACATAATATTGTCCAGGGAACTAAAGGTCAGCCAAGGCTTTGTCTTACGTGTGTGTGCCTCAGCAGAGGCGTATGGTAAGTAGGACACACACAAGGGGATAGAGCTGAGGGGGAAGGAGAGGGCAGTACCCACGCCCCTGGAAACGCAGCCTGCCTTTCGCATGGGGCTCAGGCAGCAATAATTCTTTTGCTGTGCCCTTCTCAGCCCACGTTCTGTGGGGCGAGCCAGCTGAGCTGTGTTGGAGCAGGAAGCGATCAAAGAGGTGTGTGCCTGTGTGCTTTGGCACAGTGCAAGCTGTGAATTGCTCTAGCACAGGAATCGCCTCTGAACTCATTCGTATTAAACAGAAGAGCAGAGACCTTAGGGGCTGGGGGTAGGGTGGGGAAGCCGGAAAGGTAGCCGTTGAGACGGCTGTTTCCTGATAACCTTTCCCACACCTAGCTTCCCAGGCAGAGTCTCATCTGAAGGGCTCTGGCCTGAAAAACAAACCTTGAGCAGGGAGGGGAGAGGGGGAAGGGAAATGAGGGGAGGAGGAGGAAGGGTGGGGAAGGGTCACTTGTGCTGTAACAGCACATCTTGATGAGGAGGTTTAATATTAACGGTAACACCCAGCGGCTCCAATTTGAGAAAGGGCTCTGAAGTGATTGGTATGGTCCAAATATGGAGGTAAACATGGGTCTTGTCCCAAAGTGCTTACAACCCAAGATGGTGAAAAACATACAAAAGATAGGGGAGAGGAAGACAGTCTCTCTCTCTTGTGGTGCAGTTGTATAAATTAATATTGACTGTCCCAGCTGCCCTTCAGCTGCCTGCCCTGGTTACCAGCTTGCTCCTTCTGGAGGGCGGATTGAAGAGCCACAAAGGCAGGTGTCTAAAGTCTCTCTGAGGGAAGGGACCAGTGATGAGCTCCCAAAATCCTAATAACCGGTTCCCTACCAGGTCCTCAGCGGCACTTTTGCGGCAGAGGGGGGCCCTTCACTCGCTCCGGGTTTTCGGTGGCATTTCGGCGGCAGGTCCTTCACCCGGAGCGAGTGAAGACCCCCCCCCCGCCGCCGAAGTGCCGCTGAAGACCCGGTAGGGAACCGCGCGGTGAGTACAGGTCCCATGTGCCTGTCTCCTCCCTCCCCCCGCCCATCCGACCCCAACCCACTTCCTGTCCCCAACTGCCCCCCTCAGAACCCGCAACCCATCAACCCCCACCGCTCCTTGTCCCCTGACCACCCGCTCCTGAGACCCCCCTCCAGGACCTCACCCCCTACCCAACTCACCCCGGTCCCTGTCTCCTGACTGCCCCGACCCCATCCATCACCACCCCGACAGACCCCTAGAACTCCCACGCCTCCCCCCGTTCCCTGTCCCCTGACTGCCCTGACCCCATCCATCACCACCCCGACAGACCCCTAGAACTCCCACG